CCTTCGCCCCCACCAAAAAAAAAACCAACTCTTTATGAATTAATATGTTGATGCCCTAAGTTTTCTCATCCTCTTTGCAAAATTAGAAATCTAAAGGGTACGTTTTTGTAATTTCTAACTTCTTGTTTTTGTAACGGTAACGTGACAGGCGTGTAAGAAAGTGGGACCAAACTTGGAAATTAAACGGTAGGCACAATAATAATGCCGAAAATTTTGCGGCCCATCCTAAAGTCTTTAATCTTATAACATTAGTGACCCCCACGCGCTGTTAAACCGCCCTCTCCCCCTTCAAATTCAGTCTAAACTGCAAGTCCATTTCTTACATAAGACCTACAATTTCTCTCCTCATCCTTTTTTTTTTTTTGGAATGTTTTAGCTCTTTAACTTGCCTTACTTTCCAACCGATTTATCAATTACTCTATTTGTGGATGAATGAGAGATAAATCGCATAAAATTTAAATTTAACTGATGCACGTGATGAATAATTGATTGTTTTATACTTTCGAAATTTGAGTTATTGTCGTGGATTCGAAGGAAATGTAATTAAAGTGATCTTTCTTTACCAAAAAAATATTGTATTAATAAGATTAACTCTAAAGCCAATGTGTGAATCTTAAGTGTAAATGCAGCTAACTAAAAAAATTTGACACATCAATTTACTTCTCTTCAAATTACACGTGTCTAAAGAAAAAATTAAAAGATAGATAGCATGTCGAAATTTATAACGTGGCATAATCACTCAATCCTTGAAATAAATTTAATATTTAAGGCATTGATCATATTAAGTTTATTAATACAACTAGATATCTCTAATACCATTCACTATAGCGCGTGAGAACACAAGTTTAATGAATAAATGACTTATAATATTTTGTATTCATTTAAGTTTTTTAAGCAAAAATTGAGACTTATTTTTTAATTTGTCTATTTTTTCAACCTACCATAAAAAAATGTTCATTGAAGTCATTTCCTATTATTTGGTTGAATTTACAATTTATAATAATTTACTTCCCTTCAAATTACACATGTCTTAAAAAAAATATAAAAATTTTGAGATTAGTTGTCAAAATTTAGAACATGACATAATCACTCAATCCTTGAAATAAATGTAATATTTAAGGCATTGATCAAATTAATTGTATTGATCTAGATATCTCTAATACCATTTACATTATAGTGTGCGAAAATATAAGTAGAGTTCATTCGAGTCATTTTTCATTTTTTGGTTGATTGTCAAATTTATAGTAATTTTTCAGATCACACGTGTCTGAAAAAATCTAAAAATTTGGAAATTAGTTGTTGAAATTTAGAACGTTGCATAATCGCTCAATCCCTGAAATAAATGTAATATTTAAGATAGTGATCAGATTAACCATATTAATATAACTAAATATTCTAATAACATTTACATTAGAGCGCGTGAAAACACAAGTTTAGTGAGTAAACAACTTATAATATAATTTATTCATTCAAGATTTTTACAAAAAGTGCTAATTATATCATGTTTAATGGAATCCTATTAGAGTAAAAATTGAGACTTCTTCTTGCTTTTGTCTATTTTTCCAACCCACCATACAAAAACAGGTCCTTGGAGTCATTTCCCATTTTGTGGTTGAATTTTCAATTTATAATAATTTTTTTCAAATTCTATTAAAAAATTGGTGTAATTTTAAAACACTCAGTGGAAAAGTAAGGGAGCTGTGGAAGCAAGCGCGTGAACGGAACAATCAGTTTTTTCAGAAAATTAATATTCGATATCTCAAAATTTTTTATTTCTATATTTCGCCACAGGATCATCTTGGCTGTCTGAGTCAATCCAAAGACCGTCGTGTACTTTCTACTGCTTCTTTCTTCTACCACTCTCTCCTTTTTCGCCCAATACCCAGAAAAGAAAAGAAAAAACCCACCACTCATTCTAAAAGTAATCTGCTTTTCCGCGACAAAAAAAATCACTTTTGTTTCAAACCAAGCTTCTTGTTCAACTCATTTCTGCTCATTCCCTAATCTCTCACAAACTGAGTCTTACGGAGGTAATTCTTGTATGCTCTCTTTCTCTCTCTTTCCCACGTTGTATAAATCAATGTGGGTACATGACTAATGATACTTTATTCTTTTCTTTGTTTTTGATTCTACTTTTTCTGAATGCTTTTGGGTTCTGTCTTTATTCCCTGATTTGGGTTTTTCAGGGTTGGAATTATAGTTGCGAACTCAATTTGTTTTTGTTTGTGTGTCTTCATCCTTATCAAGATCTGGTTGAATTGGAAATGTGTCAGCTTTAGGGTAGCCGATCATATAAGGTTTTTGTTTGTAAAGAGACAGCTACTTTTCTTCAGATTTTGATGCTCCTGTGAATCATTGAGTGATTCTGTGAGCACTATCACTGTTGATTTAAACTACTCATGGTATTGGGTTTGTTCTGTTTTGAAATTTTTTCTGTTCCTGTTCCATCATTTATTCCTCGCGGTTTAACTGACAAAAGATGCTTGAAAGCTGTGTCTGAAACTTCTGTGAATCTCAAAAGAAATAGTTTTCTTTCTCTTGACAACTCCTACAATTTTGGTTCTGTACAACCTTAAGTTCTTGCTTTTGTGAAGTTATTGATACTGCCTCAGCATTCAGTGATGTGGGTTTATCATAGCGTTTCCTTTTCTGATTTTTCTTCTGCGAGTTGGCCGCTTGATGCAGTGCTTTATTTCTCGGATACGGGCATCATGAATGATTCAATTCTGTGGATTCTTTTATTTTGAATTTGAAGCTAATTGCCTAAACAGTTGTGTGCGGACTGCAGNCGAGTTGGCCGCTTGATGCAGTGCTTTATTTCTCGGATACGGGCATCATGAATGATCAATTCTGTGGATTCTTTTATTTTGAATTTGAAGCTAATTGCCTAAACAGTTGTGTGCGGACTGCGGAGGATTTATTAATTTGGTATATTGCTTGCTATTACTTGTCATGGAACCACACAAAAGGAAACCCAACTTATTGCATGAAGGTTGTTGAGCGTTTGTGTAAGTAACACAGAAAGAATTTCTGTAGTACATGAATAATTAAGTTGAAATGAATTTGAATTGGGAAGGTGGTGCATGAGAGGAAAAAAAAAGTGTGCATTGAATTAGTTAAGAGTATCTAGCTTTCTTAAGGAATCTTTTTTTTATATTTGTATCTTCATACATGATGCATGTACACAATAACAGTGAAAACTGTAAAAATTTAAAAAATAAAGGACCAAGAACACAAGAAAAGATATGAAGTTATTTTCGTGACGTGTGTTCTCTGTTCATGATTCTATGTTTATGCATCATTAAAATATGGTGATGCATGTTCAGATAAAATCCCTCCGTGGCTGTTGGTGAATTATTCACAAGCCAACAAAAATCTTACTACAATAGTAGCAAGGATGCTTGTTGATCTTAAATTCTTACTATATAAGGTGTACTTGTTAATGCAGTGCTGAAATGCTTACATGATATTGCAGTCCTAGAAGAAATCAACTTCATGCTTTGTGACTTGTGAGCAGCAAGTTATGGATAAAGTATCCCCCGACTGTCCATACCCAGGATGCTTTTTCTGTGTCATGAAGGAAGGGAACCCAAGTAAGCGCAGAGCAAGTATATTGAAATTCTTCCGAGAACTTCCCTCACAGGATGATGATGGTCAGGTTCTTCCTATTAGTGGCCTTTGGAACACAGCCATGGCGCATCCTAATGATCCCGAGTTCATCGAGTTGGGGATATTTGAATGCATGGCGGCACTGATTTGGAAGGGTTTAAAGAATCGCCGTTGGCTTGCTCATGACCAAAATATATATATTCCTTATTATGCAGCGCACATAATTGGATCGTACACAATGAACATGGAAGAATTTGCTGAAACTGCTGTGCATGCCGGCGTAATCCCTCCCTTGGTTGAACTTTTGAGGGGGAGATTAACTTGGGTTGAGCAGAGGGTGGCCATACGAGCTCTAGGCCACTTGGCTACATATGCCAGCACTTTTCCATCTGTAGCAGGTCATGGTGAGATCCTTGAGCTTTCCATTCAACTAGCGATGAGTTCGCTCGAAATTGTTTATTCTCACTTTTACCAGTATGTCGATAGAAGGCGAAGTTATCACTGTGATCTCCTTACGCGTGGCATGGGGGGTGTCGAAATGGAGTCCAGGAAGGCAGAGGAATGGGCTAGTCAGTTACAATGCTGGTCTCTTCAACTTATTAATTGCTTTGCATTCAAACCTGAGTTTCTTTCTGCTATATGCAAACCAGAATTTCTAATAAAACTACCAGGCATGTGGGGAGGACTTGTTAATGAAAACTCACCAGCTGGTATGGGTTTGTTACGAACAATTTGTCATCATAAGCTTGGTAGGGGACCCGTTGCTACCTGTCCTGGCATCATTGAGGCATTGTGTAATATTGCACGCTCATCTGATGACTGGCAGTATATGGCTATTGATTGTCTTCTGTGGTTGCTCCAAGACCCTAGTACCTGTCACAAGGTAATGTTCTCTAGATTTATGCTGCCTATACCCCGACATACATGTGTCTCGTTTGGAAACATATTTCTGGGAAATCCATCTTGAGTTTTGGTGGACTAAGTTGACTTGATTTCTTATTTAAGATTGATCACGTACAAAATCTATCATTATGCTCATTTTACAAACTACCTAATTAGTTTACTTATGTTTGTTACAGCTTTTAAAATTTTAGCAGCTACTGTCATTCATGAAATTACTGAATCAAACTTTATGATTTTACAAATAAATGGGGCTGTAACAAATTAGTCAATGATTAGATGTCATGAAAAACTCATTAGGAGTGAATCAGTTCAACATTGCACACTGTTCTGCTCCCATGACATAAGATTCTATTCATTGTCGGCCACTTGATAGTCTTCTTTGGAGCCAATTAGTAGTTCGATGGAACATCCTCCCCGATATTTGTGCTATACATCTCTGTCAACAAAATACCACGTCATTAAGCAGAGTATTAAGCAGCATGTGGGGTGAGCGCAAAAAAGGATAAAGTGTACCCCACTTTGAAGATATTGTTTCTCCTTGCACTTGAGCTATATCAAACCTGTTAAACTCATTTTACATTTTTTTGCTACTATAACAGCCTGAACTGTTCCAGGATAATGATCTTCCAGTATCCAATGAGTCCCTTAAGGTTGTCAAAATACAAAAGAGAATCGTAGTGTGGCAGTTGTCTATCTCCCTACTTGACCAAAGCTAACTGAGTTGATGCTTGTTTAACAACTGACCGATGGTTTTAAGTAATATAACTNCTTACTTGACCAAAGCTAACTGAGTTGATGCTTGTTTAACAACTGACCGATGGTTTGAAGTAATATAACTTNTTTTGCTACTATAACAGCCTGAACTGTTCCAGGATAATGATCTTCCAGTATCCAATGAGTCCCTTAAGGTTGTCAAAATACAAAAGAGAATCGTAGTGTGGCAGTTGTCTATCTCCCTACTTGACCAAAGCTAACTGAGTTGATGCTTGTTTAACAACTGACCGATGGTTTTAAGTAATATAACTTTATTACTTTATTATGTAAATTGTCACTTTATGGAATATATGTTTAGTGAAATGGTAATAATTATTGTAACTTTCGAAGTAATTGTAAGGAAATGTATTTCTTCTAATTTTGGGAAAACATAATCTTCATTTCATTACTTCTGTCAGACATGAAGGCAGGCTGGTGTCCAGGAGATACATCACCAAACCTTTTGTTGTTTTTAACTCCTATATTTCCATAAGCTTATTTAGATTGATGAATATGGGATTTTATCTAAACTTTAAATACACGTTTTGAAATTGTATTCCATTATTCGAAATTTGAACTTACAGCACTCCTGGTGTTGTGAGAATCTTAAAAGGTCAGAGTGGGAAACAATCATCAAAACAAGCCATTCAGACTAGCGGCATTCTTAAGGAAATATCTATCGCATCTTAAGTTCCAATACCCTGGTTTTTCATCAAAACCAGTTTCTTAAGTCTCATGGACCCTTATTGTTATCCATCATTGGATGGTGATTCTCAAATAACACTATCAAAGTCCATCATACAAGTGATCAAATTACTTGTAGGTTTTCTGTAAAGCTTAAGCATACTGTAAAGTGATGACTTTCTTCACTGTTGGATACTCATGTTTCCTTTACAGACAAGGAACACAAAGATAAGTACATGAACATTTCCTTTCATTTCAATCTACTTATGGACACATCCTTGTATCTGGATTTTGGGGATTGAGTGGGTAAAATGCGTGTTTTTATTCCATTTGCTTTGATAATTTTTAAATGGAATAATAAGTCAGTACAGAGCTGTAGTCAAATTCCAACAGATCTGACTACACTTAAAAATGACTACATATGTTAACCAAGTAGAAAAACTCCTTTGGGCCAAAAGGTGCCTTATATCTGGATGTCCAAAAATGTTTCTATGAGGATTCTATCATTTCATGAGTTTTGGTGGATATTTCTTAAATTTGCTATGATGATTTGTTGTGTAGGTGATCGATAAAGCAGTACCTGCACTAGTGGACCTTGCAGAGATCTCAACTCTGGGGGATCACAAAAAGCTTGGGGATTCCATTGTTAACATTCTTCAGGAATGCATTCAATCACAAGGGACAGGTCGCAATTCTACCAGTAACCGCACAAAAGAAGAGATCGAGGAACTATTAAATTCTAGACAGAGATTAAAATGGGAGAAAAGTATGCCGAAAGAGGACCTCCATATCAAGCAGGCAGCAGCACTAGTGGTAAAACTTGAAGGAAATTCTTTATTTTCATCTGGAAATATTGCTGGAGCATCATCAAAGTATTCAGAAGCACTGGCACTGTGTCCGATGAGATCAAAGAAAGAGAGAGTTGTGCTGTACAGTAATCGAGCTCAATGTAATCTTCTGATGCAACAACCTTTGGCTGCTATAAGTGATGCTACGTGTGCACTTTGTCTGCATAACCCTGTTAATCGTCATGCCAAAAGCCTTTGGAGAAGAGCACAAGCTTATGACATGCTTGGGTTAGCTAAAGAGAGCTTGTTAGACGCTATTCTGTTCATAAATGAGTGTTCTCAGTCAACCGATCCTGATCTTTCATTGAGGCAAAATAAGGTTCCTGACTATGCTGAGCGGTTGGTCAAGAAGCAGATGCGTGCAGCTTGGCTGTTTAGGGAGGCTGCTGTTAAACATGGGGGTGTCCAGTGTGATGGTGATGCCGGTGACATATATGGCCAAGAGACTGATGATTCTGAATGGGAGACGGCAAGTGAAAGCGATATAGGAAATGATGGAAGGGGTGGAAGGGATGAAATGGGCGACAATGATTGCGAATGGAAGAATGACGTTTAAAGGGAGGATAAGTACATTAGAACCTCGATAAAAGGTACCATGATTTGACATTATCTGTTCTGAATAAATTTTATATGCATCTATTATAGAAAATTAAGGTAAGGCAGACAGTATATGTATGCCTTTGAGCACCCATAGGAGTTTTCCTGGATCAACAGTAAACCTAGTAGAAAAATCGATTTTGTCCCTTCGGGGATAACGGATAAATCGCTCAATCACATTGTTTTGCCTCATCAACTGAAGTTTACAAGCATTACAAAGCAATTTTAGGCTGGATGGTTTTAATGTGTGAAAATTTTCAAGCATGTTTCATCTATCCATTATGTCAAACTAGGATACTAATTAAAAATGCCCTTTCATTTTGTATCATCTGCATCTGACATTGTGAGTTGCATGGGAAACACTGAGGTTGTCATCAGATATCATTGAATGAGACACCTATTTTGATGAGCTTGCTTACTATGCATCTTCCAGGTGGACCCCATCATAATATAAATCCTTGTAAAGAAGCAAAAATATCCATTGCAAACTTGTCAATTGCCAAATCAACAATACAGTTCAACTGTTCTTGAAAGTAAACAGAGAATAAGTGTGTAAAAAATGGCTTATCCCATAAATGGGTGAGACATTGTATTTATAATGTGAAGAACATATGATAAACATGGTTTGATTTACAGATTGGGATAACAGATTGGTTATGACTCTATTATGCCCCCACAACCTGTGGGTGGGTACCAGAACAGTTTGGAGTTGTGTCGTCGAAAGGTTGGTGCTGACAATCCCTTTGTGAATATGTCAGCAAGCTGAAATTCTGAGTGAACAAATCGAACTTGAAGAATGTATTTGACACAAGATTACAGAGAAAGTGGTAATCAACCTCAATGTGTTTTGTTTGTACATGAAGAATGGGGTTGGCAAACGTGTGTTGCACTAAGATTATCACAATGCAAAACCATTGGGCAAGAGAGAGGAATATGTAGGTTTCAAAATAAATAGGAAAGCCAAGGTATTTCAGAAGTAGTAATAGCCAATGCTTTATGTTCTGCTTATACACTCGAGCAAGATACAATTGGTTGTTTCCTGGAGCCCCAGGAAGACGATGCAAAACATGTGGTGGAGCATTGGGTGTTAGGAATTGAGTGAAGATAAGGAATTGCAGCAAATAACAAGGCCAAGACCAAGTGAGCTTTTGATGTAACACAAAATAGTTTCACAACTTGAAGATGTTTTGTAGTGGGTGATTGTCAAAATCGACACACTTGATTCACTGAGTAGCATAAATCAGAAAAAGTGAGAATGAGGAATTGAAGAGCCCCCACAAGATGTCGATACTCGGTTGTATCTGATAATGGTCTACCCTAGATCACATGGAACAGGAGCGGAGGCAAGAGCGANCAAAATAGTTTCACAACTTGAAGATGTTTTGTAGTGGGTGATTGTCAAAATCGACATACTTGATTCACTGAGTAGCATAAATCAGAAAAAGTGAGAATGAGGTATTGAAGAGCCCCCACAAGATGTCGATACTCTGTTGTATCTGATAATGGTCTACCCTAGATCACATGGAACAGGAGCGGAGGCAAGAGCGAGAGAGGGAGTGAGAGCAAGAGTGACAAAATTCAAAAAATTCTAAGAGCGGGAGCGTCATATTAAATGCATAATAATAATAAAAATATTCATATTCAATATAAACATTTAAATTCATATGTATAAAAATATATATATACTAAATATTAATATTGGCATTTTGAAATATTATATATATATATATNAAAAATATTCATATTCAATATAAACATTTAAATTCATATGTATAAAAATATATATACTAAATATTAATATTGGCATTTTGAAATATTATATATATATATGTATACATATATATTTGTCTTGGAACATGTGAAAAAACTTTTTTTTACTTTAATGGGTCTCCCATCTTCCAGACGTGGGCATGCAACCATGTCCCCTATTCTTTCTCTTCTCTCTCTATACCTTAAGCCATAAGCCACAATCCTTTACCTTTTTCACGACGAAGTCTCGCCCCTTTCTTTCTNTCTTTCTCTTCTCTCTCTATACCTTAAGCCATAAGCCACAATCCTTTACCTTTTTCACGATGAAGTCTCGCCCCTTTNAAGCCATAAGCCACAATCCTTTACCTTTTTCACGACGAAGTCTCGCCCCTTTCTTTCTCTTTCTCTCTAGCAGGATACATTTCTCTTTCTTCATCTCTGTCACTCTCTCTCTCTCTCTCACACACGCACACTCAACATAAATCAAAAAATGGATTTTTGTTAAAGAATGAAATCTTATTGGAACTGTCCATATCTGGTTCATCCTTCTGAACCATATCACATCCCGGATCTAAAGAAATAGGATGAATTGAGATGATATTTTGTAAATACGTAATTGTCTTAAATATATTAACCATTTCTTTATTTTTCGATCGCTTGGAATGTTGTACCTCTTGCTCAACTACTTCAGAAGAAATTACTTTAGAAGACAAATAAGAAGTAGAAAGGGTGGGCTTCGATTAAGACTTCGATTCAGGTACATTTAGTTTCTTCAAGACCAAATTAAGGTTTTGATTTTTTATCAGTTTTTTTGTTCATCTCAATCCCTTTTTCTTTGAAAAATTCATAATTGGTAAATCGGTGGGCAAATATGAGAAACTGATATTTTAAATCCGTGAATCGAGTGTAATCAGAGCGCAGATTCGCTCTCAAAGCACAACTTCGCTTGTGGAGCGATGGAGCGCGGGGTGTTTGGGGCGAGTCGTGTGACTTAGGGTCTACCATCAGTGAGAGACATTTTGGAGCAAACAGAGTTCTAGAGCCTCGATTCCCAAAAAGAAATGAAGTCCACCCAAATCTTTCATAGAAAATTTATGGTCAAGTTAAGAAAGAAATGAATGTAATAAGTTAGGTTTATGACCAATTAATATAATATCTTCAATATAGAGAAGAAGCACGAGAATGCCTAGTGAAGAGCCAAGAACAAACATGGATGTATTGGCTTGACTGCAATAAAACCCAACTTGGAGAAGAAATGTGCTAAAACATTGAAACCACGTGCGAGGAGCCTGATAAAGACCATAAATGGCTTTGTGTAAGCGACATATGTGGGATAGAGTAGAAGCAATTTATAAAGTTGGGTGGTTGTTGCATATATACCTCTTCATTAAGTACTCTAGGAAGAAAGACATTGTGAACTTCAAGTTGTCGAATGATCCGTTGATTAGAGACGGCGAAGCTAAAGACTATGCGACTAGTGGTAGGTTTCACAACCAGACTAAAAAGTGTCAGTGGAGTCGATACCNTGAACTTCAAGTTGTCGAATGATCCGTTGATTAGAGACGGCGAAGCTAAAGACTATACGACTAGTGGTAGGTTTCACAACCAGACTAAAAAGTGTCAGTGGAGTCGATATCNCTTGACTGCAATAAAACCCAACTTGGAGAAGAAATGTGCTAAAACATTGAAACCACGTGCGAGGAGCCTGATAAAGACCATAAATGGCTTTGTGTAAGCGACATATATTGGATAGAGTAGAAGCAATTAANGAGCCAAGAACAAACATGGATGTATTGGCTTGACTGCAATAAAACCCAACTTGGAGAAGAAATGTGCTAAAACATTGAAACCACGTGCGAGGAGCCTGATAAAGACCATAAATGGCTTTGTGTAAGCGACATATGTGGGATAGAGTAGAAGCAATTTATAAAGTTGGGTGGTTGTTGCATATATACCTCTTCATTAAGTACTCTAGGAAGAAAGACATTGTGAACTTCAAGTTGTCGAATGATCCGTTGATTAGAGACGGCGAAGCTAAAGACTATACGACTAGTGGTAGGTTTCACAACCAGACTAAAAAGTGTCAGTGGAGTCGATATCAGGCTGTTGAGTGAAATGTATTGCAACCAGACGAGCTTTGTATCGTTTAATAGAACCATCACTGCAACGTTTTATGCAATAAACCCATTTGCACCCGACAATATTCATATGGGGTTGATGAGGGACATGTGCCATTGTGCATAAGTGCGTGATACTCTTTCTCCATATTAGAAAGCCACTAGTCTTTGGCAACTATATGATAAAAAGTAGCTTCAGGTGGAATGCTATATGTAAAAGTGGCAAGAAACTTGAGTGAAGTGGGTGCTTGGTAGCAAATAACATCTTGGGTTTTTGTATATCACCACAGGTGCGAGCAATCATAGGGTGAAAGGAGACAATTGATGGATGGACAGTAGGATGGGTGGCAGCATCCAAAGATGTTGTTGGAGCCGGTGGAAGAGGAGCTTGTCTGGTAGCGAAAATATCACTATAGGTTGTGCCAGATGTTGCATTCACTTGGAGGGGGGATACAGTGGTTGATTGAGCAGATAGTGGAACAACAATTGGAGCAACCAAAGATGGGGCAGATGGGGGTAATAGCTAAAGTTGTATCGAAGAGTGAGGACTCGATTGGAACGTGTAATAGGACTGTTGAATTTGGAAGGGAAAGATGGATAGTAGATGAACTTGGAGCAACAGAGGGCAAGTTGTGTGTTGCGGCAAATGGAAAACTATCTTCATTGAAAAGAACACGATGGGAACCATAAACACGACGTGTATGGGGGTCGAGATAGTGGTGTACTTAGTTATAATTGCTATAGCCGAGAAAGATGCCACTAATGGATTTTGGGCTAAGTTTGTCGAAATGATATGGATGAAGGCACTTGAAATATTGACAACCAAAGACTTGCAAAGTTGAGCAATCTGGTGGAGATCTAATAATACCCTGAGTTACACAATTCGTCCCGAATAACCTGCGCTCTATCGTTCTGCGCACGATTTTGCGCTTTGAGAGCAAATTCGCATTGAATCCGTGCTCTCATTACACCCAATTCGTGGATTCAATATATCAGTTTATGGATTTGTTTACTTGATTTGTCAATTTGTGAATTTTCAAAGAAAAAGGGATTGAGATGAAGAAAAAGAAAAGTAAAAAATCAAAGCCCTAAT